TCGAATTTTCAGCCACGAATGAAGAAGAAAAAGTGAAGAGAACTGTGTACTCGTAAGTTTGCGTTTTGTAAATCCATTAATTGCCACTGTCAAGCTGTCCTCGATTCTAACTTTGAATAATTTCCCTAATCTAGAAGAGCCGAAGAGCTGTTCGAGTGGAGAACTGCGTTCGTGGGCCTGCGTTCTAACTCCTGAAACCGTCGAAATTGTTTCACGCCGAAATTTTCCTCCGTCTTCAAATTTTACTTCGCACAGTTTCGCAACTTGCTTTGTTTTCGGAAGGGCGTCGCTCACCGTGTCAAAGAGGGAAAATGGCCATCCAACGAATAACTCTGGCAAAGGATTGACAACCTGGAAAAGACAACAAGCCATTCCAATAACAATTCAAAACTATGATTTGAAAGAAAGAAGAAAAGGGGGCTGGAACGAGTCGACGATACTCATCAAGGAGTATCAGAATTTCATATCAGTGGACAGCAGAGGGTCTCACGAAAAAGACAACGGATCCATCCTCTTCTGTTTCCACTGAAAATAAAGAAAACGTTGGCAACAACTCGGGCCAAAAGAACGGCCATCCAGCGAACAACTTCGAGGGGACGAGAGACGTGGGACTACTCCAATAAAAACGTATCTACAAACATGTTCGTTGCTGAAGATGTTGCAAAAATTTCCAAGCTCGGATAACTCGTAGGCCGTCCAGCAGGCCCACCTTGTCGAGTTACCTTACTCGGAATCAAGTAGCAATTTCAGCAATATATCGAGCCTGACTGTACGGTAGTGTACGAAACAAACAGAAATCAACAACGTGTCTGACAAGTACTCAGAGAGAACTTTTGCTCAGAGACCAGCCGGGGGTGAGTTCCGGTATGGAATAAACGGAGGAACTCACCCCCGCTGGTATGCAGATGATCCACGCATAATTGAAAACTTAAAGGAGAAAGAATAACAAAGAAAAACAAAAACGGGAGAATATCGACAACCCGTATCGATTTATTGCGGGCTATCCAGCGGGGATAACTTCCGGTATGGAATGGCACACCATTCTTCCGCATTATTGATATGATAAAAGAGAAAGAAATGAAAAAAAAAAGAAACGGGACGACAATCTCGAAAGAGTTTGTAATCTAAAGAAAATTAAGGGGGAGGGCAGACATCAAGCAGAAGCCAGCAGCCATAAGTTTTTTTTAACTTTAGTCGTCCCTTAACATCCCTTAAGACCGAAATCGCAAGGATGAGGAACTTCGGTTCATCCCGTTACTTTTTATAACGTAACATGAGCATGATTGATAGTGATAGAAAAGCATTTCTACCGTTGCCAGTAAATTTTTCTTCACATCAAATTCAACTCGCCTGATTTTTTTTTTTGGAAGAGCCACGAATGAAGAACAAAGTGAAGAGCTGTGCTCGTAAGTTTTGCATTTTGTAAATCCATTAATTGTCGTTGTCAAGTTGCCCTTCGAACTTAACTTTGAATAATCTTTCCAATCTAGAAGAGCGAAGGCAACGAAACATCCTCTTTTGTTTCCACATAAAATCGATTACCTTAGTAATAGAAAGGAGCAAAAAGAAGAGAGTTCGCGGCCATTCAATGGACAACTCCGAGAATTACCAGCGGGGATCTCCAGAAACGAAGACCAACTATTTGCACATCGTAAAAATCATTATTATAAGGCAAAGGATAAAATAAAACGACGAGCTTTCGACTTCAATATCGAGTTAAAAACCGGACCGAAAGTGCAGAAGAAAAGAACGACACCAAAGGGCATCATCACCAACGAAGTTCCACGATCCTGGCTAAGAAGAAGAGCAACTCCAAGGACTAGTCAACCAACACAGTGTCGACAAATTGCGTAACAGTATTGAAAATGCAAAGGAAGAAAGGGGAGGGGATAGACGACACCAAAAGGGTCGTCGAGAATCCCGCAAGACTGAAATCGCAGGGATGAGAAACCTCGGTTCACTCGCCTGACGACTATACATGATTGAAAATCTCTCTCCAGCGATTGAAATATCCTTCTTCTTTTTTAATTTCCACACCCGGTAGACTTTGATGGGTAATTTTCCACCTAGATTTTTTCCCCACGAAGAGGAACTGCATCCTTCCTGGCGATTGCTCGATGAACTTGCAATTGGCTGGCCAGTCTCCAGCCCAGATTTTAAACTAATCCAAAGACATTCAGAATGGATTGACGATATCTATCAATACTTTGACTGAGGAAATTCACGCGAGTCGGGTAGGGTGAACCATCGAGGCGCGGGACGAGCAAAGTTTGATCCGGGGATGAAAGATAAAAGAAGAGATGAAACCACATGAATAATAATGAGAAAGGCCTATCAACAGAGAGGAAGTAGACGACGGTACGTTTGTACGATGCAGACCATGATCAATCTAAACAGCTACGATCTGGGTAATGGGGCACTCAAAGTACCAGGCAATCCACGCAACTGGGGATGAAGCTGATCTCGTCGATTGATTACATGTGACGAATCATCGATGAGGAAAAAAGTGGACGAAAGTACGCCTGTTTTGCTGCCGACCCGAAAACACAACAAAATCACCGACATTGATCATCGATATTTAATACTTCTGATCATCGAGTATATATATATGTAATATATATATATGTATATCTTGTTTTTTGGAAGATTTGTTTCTCTGTGAAAAAGACTTAGCGAAATTATTTATTGGCGACATATTTCGCGATGTGGCGTGT